ATGTTTATTCATCACAGAATGGAAAGACAAGTCTGGAATAAGTGTGTTGGTGGCTTAATAATTACATTACTCAACACTTATTATAAATCCTTGGCATCCTTTCCTTGTGTCCCCCAACAGGGACATCCACACCACGACAGGGAAGATCAAGCGAGCCGTTTTACAGTTCACGCCGGCGAGCTGGACTTACGTGCGCTGGCTGGATCCGAAGTCTTCCCTGCAGCGAGTGATGGGCGTCTATCTCTTCATGATCATCTGGCAGGTGGGTCAAGGGGTCTTCCCGACGTCTCAACGGCGGCCAGCCGGAGATCATCCTGTGTGTTCAGTGTACTGAATCGGGGCTAATCTAATTGGCGCCTCCGTGGATGAAATCTAAAACCCGCTTCACTTGGATCCATTTAATTCACGGGGTGTGCTGCTGTCTGTGCATTAACAGCTAATCCCGTAAAGAGGCAAAGCCAGACTGGATTACTCGGGTGCAATTAATAAAGGAGGGTACGATTTTGAGTGCCGTCGCTTTGCATACCACCCAAGCTGCCTTCTCTTTCGCGTTTGTCTGCCATGGCAACACGCTGTGCGTCCCCTTTTATATGGACACTCAATGAAGCAATATCGTCATGCACTTGGCCGCACAGCTCTCCCCTCTCTGGAGGCTCCAAGCAGTAATTACCAGTCTTGAAGAATGGATCAGGGAGGGAACGATGGCGCTCGGCCCAGCGGGCGGACAGTTGAGCTGGTTCGCTGAACGAGGCTGCCGGCCAAAGGAGAGAATAGCACCGCAGCAAGCCTTCACTCTCATTATGTTTGTATGGGAATGCGAGGAGCTAGCATAAAGTGATGCTCAAAAATACTGCTGTGTTTTGTAATGTTCTGCTCAATTCAGCCATCATCACAGCATATATTTGTGTTTCCTTGGGCTTTGTTGTCAACAAGTGAAAAATCTTACTAATATACTGTATGTAGCCAACCATGGAAAATGTGCTGAAGTCATCAAAAATGATCACGAATACGAATAATGAAAATTAGTTAACAGTTTTATTGTCACATTTTGTAATGTAAAGGAGAGCTTAACACATCCCAAAACACAACAGGAATTTGAATGTTTTGAGTTGTTTGTCCTACTAAAGATGTCATCTTGTTCTCTGATCTAGCAGTCAATCAAAAATGTCATGTCTTTTCCCACGCTTTCACAACAATTACAGTGAAGGAGAGTTGTCGCAAAAATGTACACGTAAAGTCAATAAATGGAGCCGACAGACGCTCAAATAACCACCATGGCACATATGTTGCTGTAGAAAAATCTCATGGCAGCCCAAAAAAAAGTGACAAAAAGTCGATATAGTGGAATAATGATTTTGTGTCGGTGGATTCACAGGTTCACTTGGTGTGAAATCTGGGTGTGTTTAGTTGAATACATAGCTGATATACTCACAGGGAGCCATGACTTATTCCATCTATAAATGGCAACGGGTGGCTTATTGTACCTTTTGCCATTTGGTGGAAGGGCATTTCATTCTTTCGTCTGTCACTACAGTCTGTTAATGGCACAGATAGATGAACAAAGATATTATTCGGTGTAAATGATCAAATTTACGACCTTGGAAAATTTCCCACGGCATTGGATGATCTCTAACGGTTACCTTGACTGTAAATACTGACTCAAGATTTATTGTGAAATAATGACGCAGCTTTGTAGTGTGCTATTGTATTAAATATCATTTATTGTCTCCTTCCCAGTTGACCGAGTTAAACACGTTTTTCCTCAAGCACATATTCGTCTTTCCGGCAAGCCACGCCCTCAGCTGGTGTCGGATCCTGTTTATTGGCATCATCACAGCGCCAACAGTCAGGTGAAACACTGTTCTGTCTAGAGGGGGGGAACATTTGCATCGGAACCATTCGGTATGGACGAGTACTGATACCAAGTGCCATATCGGGCCGATACCAGACGTATTTTGAGGTATCGGATACTCGTCGAGGCTGCTGATACCAGCAACCGATACTTAAAGCAAAAGAGGGAAAAGAAAAAGACATTAAGTCCTCTTCCGCAGTAGTTCGCTTTATACTATGGCTGTTGGGCACTTTGGCGAATCATCATGTGCGTCAGGAAAAAAAAGTATTTGCTCACATTTTTGTTATTTTTGTCATTGTGTTAAATTAAATTTCATGCAGTATATATCGAAAATACGGGAGGTATCGATACTCTGTATCCGTGAGTACTCAGAGTGAATACTCCTATATATGGGTCTGAAAAAAAATGGGATAGAACATCCCCAGTTACCTTATATCCAATTCTTCTCACTCTAACCTGACATTTTGTTTGCGTTTGCTACAGACAATATTACGCCTACCTCACAGACACCCAGTGTAAGAGAGTTGGGACCCAGTGTTGGGTGTTCGGGTAAGTGAGCCTTCCGCCACAAAGGACCTTTCATACAGTGAAACAAATGTGAAATGTTATCAAGAGCCCCTGCGAGCTTATTGAGGCTGAGAAATGTAGCAACGTTAAACCATGACGAATTGATTTCTCACCATAGCTGTAAGCCGGTTTGTTTCCTCACATTCCTATCAACACAAATCTCACAAACATTCTGGTCCGTAAAGCAGCACATGTTGCTTCTCTGTGAGTTAAGTCAACTGAAGGCGGTTGGGGATTTGTCATGTTGTGTTTGGGTTGTTCCTCTCATTTTGCCCAGGGCCATAGCCTTTCTCGAGGCGCTAGCCTGCATCAAATTCGGACAGGACTTGTTCTCCAAAACCCAGATCCTCTATGTGATCCTCTGGCTGCTGTGCTTGGTAAGATCAGCATCGACAGCACTCTTTTTGTTTTTGTGTCAATAGTAAACTAGTGCGGTCTGGTGCCGATAGTAACCTGTGAGCTTATTTGTGTCGCCTCTGTTTAATCTTGTGTCAAAACCTGTTTCTTGTGTGAACGCAGAGATATACATGCATTCGGAGTAATGTGCCTAGACAGGATTCCAGACGAAAGCAATACATCTGTGCTCTGTTTGGAACATCAAATAGAACAGACTGGTTCAGTAAAAATATTACAATCATTAGTAAGAGTCAGAAAAGAAATTATGTCATGCCATCACATCGAAGCACTTACCAGCAACCATTCCCATATTACTTTCATGTGCTCTGACATAATAACTCATTTTTCTTCTTTGGAAATAAAATGTCTTGTTAATTACCTTTGTTCTGGCTTTTCTGTTTTAGGCCTTCATTACATTCCTTTGTTTGTTTGGAATGGTGTCGTGCGCAGAGAACTATGGACCGAGAGAAAAGGTATATGCTTTGTTTTGGTCTGTTCGTCTATATATGGTCCTCAGGAGAAGTAGAAAAACATACCGGTATCTAAACAGCCATGATAATATATTCCAAAAAAGTGACATCAGCACTTTTTGTAGGTCAGGCCCATTTCATTATTCCCCTCATGAGTTGAGGGGCCGATCATTTACAGCAGCAAACATTTCCATGAGTGCAGTCACGCTTGCAAATAATTATTTGCTTTCATCCTGAGTTCACATCTTCTCTTTGGTAAAAACTTTTTGAGAAAATGCATTGGGTGGTTTCAGTGAATAAAGGGGCCAGAACGGGTCGCATTCCTTGTGCTCACAACAGCATACAGTAATTGTGAGGCCAAAGTGTGCACATCGCTGTTGAATATTACCCATCCATGTATTGCCGTGTAAAAGTGAAATACAGGAGCCTTTACTATTTGCTGTTGCCCTTTGTCATTTTCTTCATTTGTGCGTCGTCTAAATGTTGAGTCAACATAGCCAGCGTTGTGACTGAACATCCTCTACGCCCATTGGCTTTACCATTGCAGTTTTGGGATCCCATTCCATACTTCGTGCAATGCATTTTCACCCAGAGCTGAGCTGATCCCCCACCCATTTTTTTTTT